TTAAATCGAGTCAGTCCTATTACTTTCCGGACAAACCCTGTAGTGATATTAAGTTTTTTTTTTAAACTGGTATTGAATTCTGCTGAAATATGCCTACCATTTACGAGAGACATTGACAGAAACTAAACATTATGGCAACAAATCGTTTTCTAACGTTGAACATAACATCAACGCCAGGTGTCAGGTTGTGATAATGTTTTTGTGCTGTTTATTCTTTTTTAGTCTTTTTGCTAAAGGTATAACGTTAAAATGAATATACTAACAACATTACCCGCCTGAAATGAGCATCTACGTCAATGCTCGGCTATTAACGTCAATACGTAATTATCGTCATTGCTCGAAACATATCCATAATTATTTCATGAGACGTTTAACTATTGACACTCGGATATTATGCAAACGCATCCAGAGCTTAGTTGCAGTGCTGGTGGTCAATATATCGCGTCACTGGCATAGGATCAACAAACGCCCTTCACCGCACGACTTCATTACCAAAATGCAACCAGTACGACCCGACCGCATGTTGCCGGATTTTCGTTAGCCTTCGTCGATCAACATCGCATCAACCGTTTACCTTGACCACTACGATCGCCTGCAGTATCTCCAATTTAACATGTCTAGGACATTATAGGCACAGGCTCTTGAATTTGTAACATCCTCCACAGCAGCTCTCACTCACAAAGTTTCAGTAGCCTGGAATGAGATACCCTAACAGCATATCACCTCATCAGCACGATGCCCAGGCATGTCAATGAGTGTATAAGAAATCGTGGATCCTCAACACATCATTGAAGCAGCTTCTGCAGTCAGTTGACGGATCAAGCAGACAATTTAATCATTTTACCACTAAGGGAGACTGAACATATATGCCAAAAATTATTAAAATCGGATAAGCGTACGTAGCTGTTTCCCTTTTTTTGTCACTCAGTATATAAATGTTAATGCCTCTCCAGTCTGTCAGTATTACGTCTGACCCACAACACAAAGAGACGTAAACATTTCCTGCAGTTAATCATCGTCGAATTTGCCTATATTTACAGAGTGTCTATAAAATACCTGAACATCCCATATAAAACTTAACAGCCGTTTTTTTTTTAAACAAAAGGTTCTAAGATGATTTTAAAAGGATCACGAAACTAATTTGTCGATGACCTCAAACAAGACCTTAAAATGACCTCTAAGAGGGATTGACACTCTATCACTGACCATGATCAAAGTAAGTGTTCCTATAACTTTTGTTCACATCACTTAAATAATAATAAGCATCTTGATTTATAACTAACATAAGTTATAAATGGGCAAAGTTTATCCACGGCTACTCTTCCACTTATTCCTCAAATAGTAATAGTCACTACGAATTTAGACTAGTAAAAAGTTAATACAGTTACAGTAAAAGCATTGAGAGAACAGAAATAACTATATTACTGTATTTACAGAGCGTCAATTTTTAAATTACGTTTAAAGCTTATATAATAAATGTGAAAAGCCTTGTGTTTTGGGGCATGATGAACAAATGTGGAAACCGTATGATTCTGGTTGGGTAAATTATATATTGCCGACTTATCAGCTTTTTGTATAAGTATTAAGGTTTTTCAGTCCATTTGATTTTATGCACTGCAGTAACTAATAAATATTTAAATATATTATTAATGTTCAACCATCGCATATTATTAATAAACTGGTGGATAGTTGCTTTGCAATATGGAAAATTTACGTTTGAGTGACCTGAGAGCTCGTCCATTAGTTGAGGAGCATTTTGTCTGACCGCACTAAAAATTCTAGCCGATACCACACATGCTCAATTATGGTTAGGTCTGAAGACTTTGATGGCAGAGGCACTAATGTAACATTATTTTCTGCCAAAAATTTCATAACCATACGAGCTCTGTGTGGCATGGCATTATTATCCATGCTGCCAATTTACCCGCTCATGTGCCCATTAGTACCTAGCGATTCGATGATTGTTCAAGAGTCGCCTTGCTATAGAAGAAATGCTCCTTCAAAAAAGTACCTAGCAAATTTAGTTCTTTTTACAGTACGATTGGAAGCTATTATTCCACTATGCCGCCGTAAGTTTACATGCAAGGTTCTGGATGAAAGGGTCCTCCTTCGCCTTTCTTCCTGCAATAACGTCTTTCAACCCAACCTCGTATTTTCTTTTTTTTGAATACCTCCTTCATGCATGTAGGATGTTTACTCGGGATCCTGATATCTACACGATATATTGACGACCGATCAGCATTATAAGTTAAACCCACGTCATTCACTAAGCGACCTTCTCCCAATAATCTTATACAGTTCTCTGGTTCTGTTTGGAACTGATAAGGTATTTTTGAGAAAATAAAATTATACTACTAGTCTGCACTCAATATTATTGTTATTTAGCAATTATTATTGCTTTTCTGATGTCTAGATAGTCAGGATGAAACCGGAGGAACGTCCTATTTGCAGGCACAGGTTAATCTAAAAAAATATGAGGTCGAAGACATTTATTGCGGAACGCAAAAAATTCGATAATTTGAGAGTTATAGCCAATTTTCAAAAAATTTGAGATATTTTTTTTTTTAGGATAGTCCAAAGATCAAAAAGATGAATAGAAAAATTTTCAAGATCGAAAGTTGAGAATCTGACATAGCCCCAAACTTTGCTAAAAAAAACATTACTTCCTTTGCTCACCCTGTATAAGTAGATAAATAGAAGAAATATACCGATCGAACTATGTACATGTTCTAGAAGAGTTGTTCAAGAACCTGCCAAATACTGGAACTCGATATCCCTTTCCGTTCCAAAAACATCGAGATTTGCATTTGGGTAAAATTTTCCATGTTGCCAAGCAACTGTCCACCAGCTTATGTTCTGAGGTATGATCATAGTTAGTTATATTGTTGACAATTGTTATTTATAAAAAAGGTACTACCCTAAACAGTGGCAGCTGGCCTTAATTATATTTCAGTGTCCACTCCGAAGCCGAGATCCCCCAACCTAACACGCCGCGTTGCCACGTCTAGCAAAAGATCTGGAAATGAGGGAAACACCTCTATGTATATGGAGAGCCCTAGCCCGGGCAATCAAATGCGTACCGTATCCCGTGCGATACGGTGAATTCGCACAACCGCAGAGATGGTAGCCTGCACGGCACCACACCTATTCGACCAATTCGTAGTGACACTGTAGACCGTTTCTCGCACGACTCGGTGCACACTCCTGACGACGACCGTGCTTTGAACAACACGGCGCATAATCACCACTTGAAAATTCAGGACGATAACAGTCCACAAGATGACGTTCTATCTATACATCACGATGCTCACCTGGATGAAGAAACTCTTCCAAACAATGTTTTAGCTCTTTTGGGTGAGGACCCATATGCTGAAAAGTTGGCTTCATATAACTTGCATAAAGCTGTCAGTACCAGGTGGGAATACATAGTGATGAACGGTCTGGGAGAAGAAAACATTTCAGAGCTGTACGCTTGTCATGTTGTACCGGACAATTGTAAGCTCCTCTCACACCAGAAAATAAATCAAGAAATTGAACCAGCTAAGTCCAGCATACCTGAATAGAGATCGGAGTCACAGAAGCTTCCAGAACCATGTAAGTGCTGGGCTTTTCGGCCTTGGGCATTAATGGCCTACTGGAGCAGAATGTTGATACGAGTGGTAAGAAACTTGATGATATACTGCCTCATTTGGTCGATGCTGGCCGTATTTTTACCGACTTATTCCACGATATCTCCATCACCAGACAAAATCTGGTTACTCAGACATTGAGTAAAACTGGTAAGGATACGGCAGATAACACGAAACCTGATGAGTTTCTGTTTGGTCGTGACTTTGAGGAGAGATTCAAGGCCGCAAAGAGCTTAGAAAAAACCCGTAGGCGTTTCGCTGGCTCATCGGCGAACTCAACGACACTTGTGGTACAAAAAAGGGGGGTATGTGTACCACATCAGAAGGAAATTCCCTATTGCATTTCCTCATAGTGAGCTCGTCTTTATGAGGAAAGAAATAAAAAAACTGATGGACATGGGTGCAGTTGTACACTGCAGTCCTGTCAAAGGTCAATATCTATCGAAAATGTACCTGACTGATAAATCCAATGGCCCAAAACGTTTTATACTAAACCTGAAGCTGTTCAACGAATTCGTACAGTACTTCCATTTCAAAATGGAAGACTATAGAACAGCCCTCAAGCTGATGATGTAGAGAAGATCTTTTATGGTGGGAGAACATCAGGGAGTCATATCATGACATGAAAACTGATAATTATTGTTTAGAAATATTTACAGATAGCTTCCTCACAGGATGGGGAGCTTGCTGTGGTAGAGAGTTAACGCATGGTTTCTGGTCAAAAACAGACAAAATTAACCACATTAACTACCTTGAGTTGTTAGCAATTTACAACGGATTAAAATACTTCGCTCACAGCTTCTCGAATGACAACATCCTTATAATAATATATAATTCAACAGCAATATCATATATAAACAAAATGGGTAGCATTCAATTTCTCAAGCTGAGCTCACTTGCTAGGGAAATATGGCAACGGTGCGAAGCTAGGAATACTTGGCTATTTGCATCATACATCAATACGAAAAGCAATTATGAAGCAGAGTCACGCGTTATAGAAGAAAACACAGAACGGGAACTGTCAGGCGAGGCATTCTCTTCTATAAAAACTAATCTAGGGGTCCCTGATATAGACTTATTCGCGTCCAACATAAACACAAAGTGTGCCAAATATGTATCATGGCGTAAAGATCTCGGCTCCATAGCAGTGGGTGCATTCACCTTAAACTGGAGGGATCTAAACTTTTACGCTTTTCCCCCATTTTGTCTAATACTAAAAACGATCCATAAGATTATACAGGGCCAGGCAGAAGGGATAGTAGTCTTGCCAGACTGGCCCACATAGCCTTGGTACCCATTACTCTCAAAATACGTCACAGGAGAACCTGTGATCTTCTCACCCAGCCCTAATCTGTTATCATCACCTTTCAGCTGGAGACCTACAGTTGATGACAGTGAGATTATCAAACAAGCCTTTATATCTCAAGAAGTCGACGAACCAGCAGCAAACATAATGTTGGCATCTATCTCGGACTCAACCATCAAACAGTATAGCAACACCTACAAGTTATGGTCCAAATACTGTGCAGAAAACAATTTGGATGTCTTCAGAGCGCCAGTCATAAAGGTAATACAATTTCAACAAGAATTATTTTTCAAAAGAAACCATCTCTACATTCAACAGCCATAGGTCAGCGCTGTCACTAATACTCCATGATGACCTTACCACAAGCCCATTAATAAAAAGGTTCCTGAGAGGCATTGCTCGCGAGCGACCACAAATGCCAAGGTACAGCTATACCTGGGATCCCAGCCAAAGTCCTTCGATACCTTGAGGGACTGAGTGATACTTGCTCTTTGAAATTATTAAGTCACAAAGTTGTGACTTTGCTAGGATTAGTAACAGGAGGACGACTTCAGACCATATCATTGATCCGACTGTCCAATATAATCACCAACGCAGATAAATTTCAAATACGCATCTCAGATACCATCAAAACAACCATGACATCTAGAGAGCAACCATGCTTACAAATACCTTTTTCCCTGCCAATAAAAAGATATGCCAAGCATCTACATTGCTCGGATACATCGATGCAACTAAGGACTTGCGTCATAGAGAGGACTACTTATCACATTTTCTGGAACGCATAGCCGAGCTTCTAAACAAACCACAAGTAGATGGATGAAATGCACATTGAAGGATGCCGGAGTGGACATCTCCCTTTTCAAGCACCACTCTACAAGGCAAATTTCAAACTGGTGGATTGAGATGTGGACGGTTTTTCTGGACAAAACACCTTACATCTCAGTAACTAATTACCAAAGCCCCATGGTATGTTACATAAATCTTCTTCTTTTGAATTGGTTTATCTAAATATGCAATAAAATTTGAGGCATTCTATTTAAAAATAAATACAACTTTGATATGTAGCACAAAATTGGGACACACTGTATAATTGCCAATATTCAAGAAATGTGCCCTCAAATATCATGTATATGTAAATGCATTTGTTTATGAGTAATATTCCGTCCACGCATGGGTGGGCCACCCTGTATATTAGGCATGTAATTGAATGCATGACATTTATAAAATAGCGTCAAGTCTATTGATAGGTAGCTATATATTCTGCTACTATGTTCGCCCTATCAAAAGTTTTGAATCCAATTCAATTTCATATATTGTAATGTTCCTAAATGCATCACAAAATAGATTAACACAAAATAGTCGTTCAACAGTTACATTTTAAATATAAAATCAACATCCTCCACACCATTACTAAACCAACCAAAGGCAATACAAACTGTACCTATGTCCTTATTAAAACTATTCACACACTTCGGGGCCTTCGAAAAAAATACAAAGTATTTATAAGGTGACAAGTCCATCTGTACACAGATGTAGGTATTTTATATTTTATGTATTGTGTATAAATAATGTATTATATAAAACATAGTCTCGTTTGATCTACACCATTCTTGGCTTGACTACTTTATATGCTATGGGCAATTAAAGTAATGTTTCAGGAGTTGTGAGCAATGTTCATGTAAAGGACCATCAGATAAAAAAAAATTACCGATATACTCGGAGCGGGGCTGCGGGGATGGATCCACCTCAATTCAGGGCACTCGACAAACATCCCTTACCTCACATCTGAAGACGACACAGTCTACTTAATTTGATGACATATTGCTCGAATTTTGAATTTCGTTGGAAAGCTTCCTAATATATAGTTTTGTATCGTTCCATTAGTTGAGTTATTGGGGTTCCGCATTCATTCAACAGGCCCAAATGCTCCTCTTACAGGTCTCTGCAGGCAACTTCTCGGGTATTTGTCGATTTTGGCCTCTCGCTTATGTCAGATGCATAACCTATGCCTCGAGTAGGCTCCGTAACCGCGGCCGCATCGGTATATCTCGCTCTGTTCTGTTATTTTCTTCTGGTTATTACCCTGGGTACTATTCTAAATTTAAATCAGATGATTTCTCGCTGAGAGTGCGTCTTTGACAATTCTCTTTACAAGTATTTAAAAAAAATGGGTTGCGCCATCTAGGATGATAAGTATCAACTATAGACATTAGCGTTTGGCGCAATCATCAGATGGCACTCAAAGCAGGGTCTAAGTACTTGTATATGGCTTACACCCCGCTGGCTGTAGCCAACAAATAAGTTATTTCAAGGTTAATTCCCAGGAAAAAAGAAGGCTCTGTACTCTTCCAGACTCTAATATATCTGAGTACCAAATTTCATCCGGATCCGTTCACCCATTTTAGCGCGAATAAGTAACAAACATCCACGCTTTCCATTAACGACATTAGTAGGGATGGGTAGTCAGAGAAATTTGAGTTAGAGAGTAGGTAAGTAGGTTCTTGAAACAAAAATCCCCAAGGCATTCCCAAATTATACCAAAAGATCATATTTTCGAGTCGAGAGATAATTCTGTTGATATCGACCACGGGCTTGTTGAAATATAAGAGAGCTTTCAGTGCTTTTGTGTTGCTGCTTCGTTCTGTAATTCCTTATTTCGATTTTGCGCAATAAGGAGACAAAACTCCGTTATCCGGAGGCACCGTTAGTTACGGAGGGCTTATTTCGTAAAAGAATATTTTCCTTATTCAGCGCTGTTGGCGCAATTTGTAAAGCTGAATAAAATTAATTAAAATAATTAATTAATAAAGAGTTATCAAAATACACTAGTTAAACTTTAATAGAAATATGACTTCTAGATCACAGATAAAGATATATGCAAAATAGGCAATTTTCTCAATGAATTTAATTGTCCTGGGCAAGGTAGACACTTACTGTAGTTCTGCTGTTTTCTGCTGGTATTGTGGTCACTTGTTCTTCTATGATTCCATGATGTTAAACATATTCATTTCTTGTTCTATTACCGCAACTTTTCTGTTCAAAAATTAACAAGATTATGAAATTTTGGGGTTAGCCTCACGTCAAAAACAAAAAAAATAACGATAAGTAACCTGTCATGACTCACCGTAGTCTGTACTGTCAATTTAACGGGCTTCGCTTTAGTGGCTATAAAAACTCCTTATTTTGTCGACAATAGTTATTTGCTGTTACTGTCAAAAATAATGTAACGGAAGGCTTAACGATTATCTAGTTATCTTTGTTGCACTAAAAACTCTTTATTAAAAGCTGAACCTATTGGATCTGCATTCTAGTATTCCATATCGCCAAAGTATCGATAGTTATATAATTTTACCCCCAACACATAATGTGTGTGCATTGTTGCGTAAGTTGACAAGCAGCCGCTGTCATTCGTTCGCGGATATGGCCGTACAAGCCCACATACTGCCGCAACACAGCTTTATGTGTGGCACAGTTGCCGCAATATACACATTTCACGATCCATGCCCTGCAAGAGCCACAACCAGCCAGCGTACGTATCAATAATGCATAGTTAATTAATCGGTATATGTATGGTTCCGGCGGAGGCTGAGTGATATTCAAAATGGAGTTTATTGAAATCAAAGCTCGGCCGAGCATAGGCAGACGAATATGGGAGCTGGGCTGCCGAGCTGCCGATGAAGCTGATGCAGAAAATTGGCCCTTTATGCAGCGGCAAGCCCCTATACGGCCACGTAATTTGCTTGTTGGTATAAAGTCGGCGTAAGGATATTAGCACCAAAGGCACGCAAAGGCCTATACAAAGAGACTGACTGAGATGGGGGTGTCTATTTGATATCTGAACAAATAGATAAATTGGCCAAAACGCGTTTTTTATTTCCTACGCGACTAGCGTGGAAGCACTGTAATTCCGGACATTTTCGAAAATGAGGTATTTTGTTTTTTGGGTGTATATGTGATGTACGTCACAAAATATCATGTCACTCAATTCCGTCGGTCTGCCTGTCTGTCTGTCCTCTAATCTACCCATCTATAACTTGTAAAGTACTGGTCGGGTTTTGATAAAATTTTCACACAAGGTGCCAAGGACAAAAAGCCCTCATGTTTTCGAAAATCGATACAGTGGCGGCAAACCTAGGGCCAAAAAAGTAAAAAAATAAGAATCGCTCAAACTTCGTTCTTTGATGTTTCAGGGATCCTTGTGATTTTTAAAAAAAATTAAAGGGGTGAAAAATTGGGGCTTGGAGGTTGAAGGGGATGTGAAAGGGTATATCTAGTTTTTGGTAGTGATATACTTATACGCCTCCAGCCTTTCCGACAGATTTCACTCATCAGAGATTTCCTCGTACATTCATGGTCAATGGTGAAGAAATATTTCCGACCCTCGCGAAGCGATCATAAGCTTCGCGATCCTGCCGGTGCATGTGTGTAGCCGTCGGCCTCCGCTGCTCGACTGGATGTAAACCGATCGTTATCCATCCTACATAGTTTCGAACATTTCTGCCCGCAGGAATTTTTCTCTCGTCCGAAACTTTTTGAGGAGCGAGGAAGACCATATTTTGGTTGGCTAAGGGAGCCAAATCCTAGACAGCCCCAAAATTGTACAAAAACACGGTAAATATGCAAACCTCAATTGTCTGAGTCTATTTTACTAACTTGATCCGTTCCCTCTTTTGTCATATATGTACATTTGCAGCCAACTTTTTACCTCGTAATTGATACAAACGTTATCCGCCATGAACCAATTGCAGCGATGCGTAGGGAGCTCAGAGTCAACCTACTTGATGCTATTTTCCCCTAGAAAAACTTATACGAGACATTTGTTGAATATAAATTCGGTTTTCCGAACATAATTTTTGAAACAGTTCTCTGTAAAACTTCTATGTCGTGTGAATACAGTGGACATTCTGTACCCGATGCTAATATACCATACCTTAGATGCGGCTCAATTAAGACATGATATATAGTACACATATAATGTTCTCTCAATATTCCTGTGAGAAATTTAGTTTTGTATGTAACAAATCTTACTTTCTTTAAAATATATTAATGTCCCACCTCAAATGTTGGTGTAAAAGAATTCCTAAATATTTGATATTATACACTATCAATTTTTAAATTTTTATCTATTTTGAAGGAAATATTTGAATAATCGGGTGGATCACTTGCATATGATGTGAAGGGTAGAAAATGCGTTGTTTTAAAGTACACTGTTAATTCTCTAGTGTTGAAAAAATGAAAATGAATAATTTCATAAAAGTTTTTCTCAATGATTTTCTTTACATCATACCAGCTTGCCCTTTCTATAGTATTGCCGTATTATC